CCCAGCCCCTGTGCCTACTTGCAGGCACTTTAATCCGCTGAGCTATTTGGCCGGCCCTGGTTAAACTATATTTGTGTAGTGAAAAAGTCTTTCCCTGACCCCTAGCCATTCTCTCCTCTCCTGCAGACAGCATGCACGCGTGTCAGCTCTTTCTTGCACTGGTGGAGCTTTTATTTATTTATATTTATTTTTGGTTTGTTTGTTTTTCAAGACAGGGTCTTGCCATGTAGCCCAGAATGGCCTTGAGCTCATCATGTCTTCCACATTGGCCTTGAACTCACAGTGACACTCCTGCCTCAGCCTCTCGAGTGCTGGCTTCCCAGGAGTGGGCCATCATGCCCGACATCTCGCTAGACGAGCATAATATTGGCTCCACTGTGTGCCGTGCTTATTTTATTGTTGAAACACAGCTTGAGGATGATTCTGTGGTGGTGAAGAGTTTTTGCATAACTTTCCATTTTCTATGTGTCTGTTATCTCCCTGACATCTGTTGGTAGACTCAAGTTGTTAGCAGTCCTAGGTGGTTTATTAAATCCTTGGTGAGTAGCCTTGTCTGCCTGCCATTTCTCGCACTAGGTCCTGTTTAGTGGTGACTTTACCGGATGATTGCCCAGTCGGGCTGCAAGAGTCCTCAGGCACACAGCAGCAGTATCCTACACCCTGCAACACAGGCACGGACATTTAAAACAGTATTAGACATGAGTGTTGAATTATTTTCATGCAGTATTTTATCTCATTTTTATTTGATTTGGTTTTTATTGGATTTCTGGTATATTATGAGCAAAACATTTACTGGGTACTTTAATGTGGATGTTCCACATTCTGAACTCAATCTCATGTAAAACAAAATAGGCAGCGAACACCAGCTAACTGCCTTATTTTGTCCTCAGTGACAGGTGCGAGTTTTGTGGTGTTCAGTGGCGCTCTGAAGTCGTCTTCGGGATTTCTGGCCAAGTCCAGCATAGTGGAAGGTATGAGCTTCCTCTTTCACACTGCTTTAACATGAAGCTGATTTTCTGCCAGGCCCACAAGAGAATGCACGTACGCTGTGGAGAGCAGGGCCCACACTCACGCGAGGTCGCTGCCCACCTGGCGCTGCCCTGCCCGGGAATCTGCTGCCCGTGCCTTTGTATGCTTATGTACAGAATTCATGAAAAGAATATACACCACCTTGCCATGTGAAATTAGTATTTTCATACATTATATATCTTTAAAATTTATAGGGTGTGGACAGCGCCTACCCAGTGAGCACTAGGGCCTGAGTTCAATTTCCAGTACCAAAAAATTAATTAATTAAAATAAAATAAATTTATGCAAATTATTTCAACTATAGCTTGTCATTTTTATTGCAGTTAAGTATTTTGTGAATGTATGACAATTTATTCACCTCATGATTGTCAACTTCCAGGTGGTTTCTTGATTTTGTTGTTACAAACAGTTGTAATAATGGTACTCTTACCTGTGTGTGAACCCTGGGCTGCAGTCTGAAAGTTTCCTTGGAATATTTAGTAGTACAGTGTCTAGGCTAATACACTCACAAATATTTAACTTTTTCTTTTACATATTTAGTAGGGTCTATAGGGTCTCACTAGGTAGATCAGACTTGTAGTGATTCTCCTGATTTCAGCCACCCAAGTGCTGGGATTGCAGGCACGCGCCACCCTGCCCAGTCTCAGTCGCCACCTCAGCGCGCCCCAGGGGCAAAGCCAGCACAGCATGCTGGGGATCAAACCCCAGTTGCTGCAGGTGCTTTCGTCTGCCGAGCTATCTGGCCGGCCCTACAAATGTTTAACTTTAGAAGGTGTTGCTAAACTGTTTGCACAGTGGCTGTGCCAGCTCTCAGCGTCAGTGTGTACGACCTCTGACTGGGCTCCATGATAACTATATATACCTGTGGACAGTGTAGTATGAGCACTTGAACACGCATGAGATGCACAGTGATCGTTTGTTGGGAAACTCGGAGCCCCTCTTGTTGCCGCTCAAGCGTCTGATGACTTCTCCGTGTGTAAGCGGTGCGCCCTGTCCCTCCCGGGGCAGCTGTACTCGGAATCCGCAGCCTCTCCCGTGGCCGCCCTGCCGATCGCTCGAACTGCTCTTCTGCTGTGCTCCTCTCCCACCAGGGCAGCGTTTCAGCTCCCACACAAGCGCGAGAGCAGCAGGCGCATCTTTCTGTGCCCACTGACTCCCTTCACGCAGTGTCCTCCAGTGCGCCATTGCTGCCTGTGGCAGTCCTGTCATGCGCTCTGTCTCTTGGCTGCTAGCACACCAGGGTGTGTTCACCACAGGGGCCTTACCATTCATCTGTTGGTGGCCAGCCAGGTGACGTCTCGTCTCGGCTCCTAGGAATGGCGCTGCAGTGAATGTGGGCGTGCAGGTATCTCCGGGGTAGTTACGTGGTCCCTTCACTTGGAGATCTCCCCACAGTGAGATGGACAGGCCGCGCAGCAGTTATTTTCAAGGAGAAGCTCTCTGCAGCGCCCTGTCGTCTGCCTTTAGGACAGCACTGATTTGCGTTCTTGCCAGCAGTGTATGAGCACTCCCCTTCGGTCACATCCTTGTCAGATTTTTTTTTAATATTTATTTTTTGTCTTTTTGATTATAGCCAGTGTGGGGTGAGATAATACTTGAAGATGGTTTGATTTGCATGCCTCTGGAGATTAATGATGTTGGACTTCTTTCATATACAGTTGGCCATTCATATATGTACAGCATCTTTTTTGAGAAATTCAGGTGATTTGCCTATTAGGTAATTGAATTTTTTCTACTGTTGCGGGCTTTCGGTTCCTTAAATGTTCTGGATGTTAATCCAGTGGTGGATGAGCGGTTTGCAGATATGTGCTCCCCTTCTGCAGGTTGGCTTTTGGCTCTGCTGATGGTTTCCATTGTTGTGCTGGCATTGATAGCTGTTTCTTTTTCCTTTCATTACCTGTGCTTTTAGTTTGTATCCCCAAAATAAATACCCGTGCGGAAATTCTGAATGTCTCTCCTAAGTTTTCTTCTGATAGCTTAATATTTCAGGTTTTACATATAGGTCTCTGACCCACTTGGAATGGATTTTTGTACATGGTGGCAGGAATCTGGTTTTCATCATTTGCATATGGACATCCCGTCTTCCCAGCACCATTTATTGAAGGGACTGTCCTTTCTCCAGAGTCCGTTTTTGGCCCCTCTGCTGGAGATCATCTGGCCGTAGATGGGTGGGTGTCTGAATGCGCTTCTGTTCCTTTGGCACTTGCTTTATACCAGTCCTGTGCCCTTTGGGTCACTATCCATTGTAGTGTGTGTTAAGAGCAGGTATTGTGATACCATCAGCCTTACTCTTTTTGCTAAGATTTCTTTGGCTATTTGGAGTACTTTATAGTTTCATAGAAGTTTTCGGATTTTCTTCGTTCTTGGTTTTTTGGTTTTTGTTTTTTTTTTTTCAGTTGAGCTGTTTCCTAAGGGAGGTTTATTTTTTGTTTTTGGTGGCAAGGACCGAACCCAGGACTTCTAGCTTGCTAGGCAAGCGTTCTACTGCTGAGCTAACCCAGGCCAAGTTTTAGGATTTTTCTGTTTCTGTGAAGAATGTCATTTGTATTTGGAGAGGAATTATATTCAATCTATAAATGTCTGTGGTTATGAGGGTCATTTAACAATATTAATTCTAATTTGCTGGCATGTATCTCAGTAGGAGAGCCTGAGGCCTTGGGTTCCATCCCCAAATATTGCGCTAAGAATAACTTCATGAATATGGCTGTTTTCATTCTTCTGTGCCCCCTTCGGTCTCTTTCATCAGTGTTTTGTACCTAAACTGCTGCTTTTGTTGTTCCTACTGTGAGCAGAAGTGCTCCCTGATTTCTTTCCCAGCAAGCCTGTTACTGGTACGTGACAATGCCATCGACTGCTGTGTCCTCCTTTTGTGTCCCGCAGCCTTCCTGAATCTCCTGATCCTGACAGCTTTGGTGCATCTGTATAACCTCGTCTCATCTGCTACTAGGGATGGTCTGACTTTGTCTTCCCTTCTTCGATGCCCTTCTTTCTCTCTGTTTGATGCCCTGGCTAAAACTTGTAGTACTGCGTTCAGAGTGACAAAGGTGGGCATGGCCTCTGCTGGCTGAGATTTGTCCCTTCTCAGCCAGTTTACTGAGAGTTGTAGCATGAAAGAGTGCTGCGTTTTGCTAAATGGTTTTTCTGTATGTGTTGAGACAACTGGTGGTTTTGTTTGGTTTTGTACAGGCAGTGGGACTCGGGCTCTTGCCCTTGGCAGGTAGGTGCTGTGCCACTGACTGGTGGCTTTTGTCCTTCCTTCTGTTGGCGTGATTTGTTGCCTGTTTATATGTGCATGTTGAATTATCTTTGCATCGCTGGAATGCATCCCATTTAATCATGGTGTGTAATCTTTTTTACTTGCTCTTAGGCAGTGATTTTATCAAACCTACAAATACAGACCTTGTTTTCATTAAACTTTCAAAAAAGAACCCTTAATATAGTGCAATATTTTTCTCATTTTCCTAGGGGAAAACAGTTGTTAGGATGACTGGCAAGGACTGAAAGCTTACGTTATACTGAGCTGATCTTGGTAGGAAACCCTGTGCCTTAGCCTTATACTCTCAGACACCGATGCTCTTTTGCAAATAAATATGAAGCGTAACTCTCATTTCTAGATGGCTTAATGGTGCAGATAACACCAGAGACCATGGATGGCTTGAGGCAAGCTCTGCGAGAGCAAAAGGACTTTAAAATTACCTGCGGGAAAGTGGACTCGGGAGACCTGAGAGAGTACGTGGATATCTGCTGGGTAGATACCGAAGAGAAAGGAAACGAAGGGTACGCACTTAGCTCCTGAAGTTTAGGTGATAGGTGGGGAAGAGAGAACATTCCCTGAATACCATTATTTTCTGAACAAATGTAGAATTACGCCATGAATGTGGTGTTTCCCCTCCAGTTAATAAATACTGGGTGCATCTTTAGACATGGCCCTGCCCACCCCTGGTGCCATCTACAGGGTGCTGGCAGTGGGTGGCTGGTGTGAGGGTCAGGGTCAGGTACCCGTTGGGCATTGGGAGGCGCTGCTGCCTGTCCTGGGGTACCTGCCCTTGTGCCATAAGTAAGGGTTCCCTTCATGCAACTCTAATACACTTACCGTTAGCAGAAGCTGAATTTCTTAAGGTGTGCACTGGGCCTTCCAGACTACTGCCACTGCCCTTCCTTTTTTAAGTTACCCAGTGTTTTTCTTTTTGGAGATTGGATACGGGGCCTGGGCACAGAAGGAAGAAGAGGGCTAATGCAGAAGAATTCCAAAATAGAGCTTTTGAATTCATACAGCTTTTATTTTATTTATTTTTTTTTTTTTTGATTTTTGATACCAGGAATCAAACTCAGGACCTTCTGCTTGCCAGGCAGGCACTTGTGCTACTGAGCTATGTGCCCAAGACAGCTTTTCTGTTAGTAGACTTTTTTGAGGTATTTGAGATCTAGGCCTGAATTGGGCATGTGAAAAAGGAGGTATAATTTACTGATGAACAAAAATGACTACACAATCATAAATTAGCTACATATTCATCATGTATATAATTGAGATATTTTGTTGCCTTAAATTTAGAATTTTCATGATTTTTATCTTCATTTGTTCAAATATAATAATTCATTTAATAAAAAGCACTTAGAGGACGTTGATCCCATTATGTTTTGTTCCGTAGTGTTATCAGCTCGGTGGATGGAATCTCATTACAAGGATGTCCCAGTGAAAAAATAAAACTGGAAGCGGACTTTGAAACTGATGAGAAGCTTGTGAAGTGTACTGAGGTAGAGGAGGAGGCCGTCCCTTCCCAGCGCAAGTCGCGTTTGGACCTGTGCTTTGTTTTCAGGTTGGAGGCCTGCGTCTCGGCCTCGGGCACTGTGGTGTGAGTGGTTGTTACCCTGCCGCCCTTGTGCCCCGCGGCACTCACTGCCTCCTGGGCTGCAGGAGGCTCAGGCCAGGCGTCCTTGCGGTGGCACTGCCCGCCAGCCAATGGCTGGGTTTGGTTCTGGTGCCGTCTGTGTACTGCAGCTGTGGCATTTCTATTCCTACCCCCAGTACTGGGGCTTACACTCAGGTCTTTGCACTGAGCTACATCTCCAGCTTTTTTTGTTGTTGTTGTTAAAGACAGAGTCTCCCAAAATCCCTCACTTGCTCAAGCTGGGTTCACACAGTGACCCTCCTGCCCACAGCCTTCCTAAGTGCTGGGGCCGCAAGCGTGTGCACTCCGCAGAGCACAGAGGTCTTTAAGCGAGGGGCTGTGAAACTTCAGCGCTGCAGAGCCCGCACTGAGCCCCGCAGCCCACCACTTCAGTCTTCTTGCTCATCAGCAGTCAGCAGCACTCACTCCTTTGTAATCCTTGCGGATTTCATTCTGTGCAAGATACGTAGACACTACAGAACAGCATTTCTCTGTCTGATCTTTACATAGTTGCTTTCATTGCTACATGTCAGCTTTAGGCAAAAGTAGCTGAACCACTTCCGTGATCTGTAGTCTTTGGTTTTAAATGTTTATGGAATCCATCCAGACTGCAGACACAGTGGTCTCAGCTGAAGAGTTCATGGAACTAGCATTGCAATTCTGTTAGTGTCCATGTGAACGTAGCAGTTGTTGCATTTTAAAAGTTGCTTTTGCTGGCCTGGGGCGGCACACACTTGTCATCCCACCACTCAGGAGGCTGAGACGGGGATCACTGCAAGTTCAAGGCCAGCCTGGGCAACATAGTGAGACCCTGTTACAAAAACACAAAAGTTGCTTTTAATCTTCATAGTGGTTTATTTTCTAACTAAATATATTTCAGGTGTTCTATTTTCTAAAGGACCAGGATTTATCTGTGTTGTCAACTCACTATCAGTTTGCTAAAGAAATTGCCATGGCTTGTAGTGCTGCACTGTGCCCTCACCTGCAGACCCTGAAGAGGACCGGGGTGAACAGGATTGGACTCCGAGTCTCCATCGACACGGACATGGTGAGGCCTTTGTTGCAGGCTTTGGAAGCAGCTGTGTCCTCTTTACAAGACCTGAGGGCCAGCGAGATAACTCAGCAGGCTAAAGTGCCTGCTTAGGCAAGCTTAGGCAAGCTCAGGGACTGCGGTTCGATCCCTGGCACCACACTGCCGCGCCCTTCACAGGGAAAGCAGCCACTGACTGGATGTGGACGTGTGACCACAGCCCATCTACCCTGCACCATCCTTCACCTAGGGGGCCAGATTTGGCCACGGTGGCTGGGTTGTGCTCCCATGAGGACCCTGACTTTTGAATTTACATGTTTTGATGAGGCCCACGTCAGGATTTAAAATTTCCAGTATAAGATGCATCTGGAAGGAGCGCCCGCGAGCATCCCAGAGAGCAGTGTGCACTGCTCCTGCACTGGCTGAGCTGGGTGCTGCCTGCCAGGCGCTCCTGCGCCGCACGCTCTGCAGCTCGAGCCTGAGGTGGCCTCAGAGGTTCCATCCCAGCATCAGCAGGCGAGCCTGTCCTTTTTGGGCTCCTATAACTGTCTTTTACCCATTTAACATGATACACCACAGAGCTGCTCCCTGTGAGTGCATGTTCTTTTTACGGTTGTGTGGTAGTTCATTAATAGTTGGTGTAACTAGCTTTTAGCAGCAGATTTGATGTTGAGGTTGTTGATAGTGTTTGCTTTTGTTCAAGTGTGAGTGCAGCCATTGGAAACACTCCTCACAACGTGGCCATGTCCAGGTGTGTACTCAGGAGATACTTCCACGTTGTCCCAAGTGAAGGTGATGCCACTTAGGTTTTCACTCAGAAGTTTCTCAGGGTTCCTTCTCCCACAAAATACTGTACAGCCAGGCTTGCTTTTGCTTTCTTGCTTGTTTCCTTTTTTTTTTTTCCAACGCTGGAGAGCAAACCTAGACAAGTGTCCTTCCCCTTGATGAGGCAGGTTCCCTTCCACGAAGCCACATCCCCAGCCCAAACATTTCAGCTGTTAGTCTGATCAGTGAGGCGGAAGTGCAGTATGACCATAGTATTCACTTCTGTTAACGTGAGTGAGGGTCACCTTACATGCTGAGGCCGTTTTTCCTGTAAACTTTGTTTCGGAATTTTTTTTTCTTGGTACTGGGGATCAGATTTGGGACCTAGCACTTGCCAAGTGAGCATTTACGCTGCTGAGCCATATCCCCAGCTCCTGGCTGCCCAGTGTGCTCACTTTGTGACTGTTGACAGCCCCCGCTACAGGTTTTCAGCAAGGTCCTCGGCAGCAGAAGCTCGTGCACAGGAGCACGTCCATGTGCTGCTTGTGTGTCTCCCGCCCGCACACCCGGCTGCTTCCGGGATGAGGGGCGTTGTTTTCACGGCACTGTCAGTGGCGCCGCCCTTTGAGGGAAGCACCTGGTAATGACCGGGCATCGGAGCAAGCACTGGTCCCCTCCTTAGTCAGCTGCATTAAATGCAATATTAAATGTCATTCAAAGCCTTTGTAAGTAGCCCTGTGCTCACGGCCCACTGAGAGGAACCTAGAGGACGGTGACGGTGCTGACGGCATCCCTGCACGAGCCATTAGGTCCTCAGAGCGGAGGGCTAGGAGAACACGGGAGGAGCCAGCGTCAACTGACCATTTAGAATTGGCTGAGCTAAATGAGTGCGTTTTTTTCCAAGATTGCTTTATCGAGACTTCCTTTTTCAGGTTGAATTTCAGGCAGGCTCTGAGGGCCAGCTGCTGCCTCAGCACTACCTGAACGCCCTGGACAGCGCCCTGATCCCTGTGATCCACGGGGGCACCGCCAGCTCAAGTCTGCCCCTGGAGATGGAACTGGTGTTCTTCATTCTCGAGAACCTGGGGTCGTGAGAGGCTGCGCGGCTCGCAGGCTGCACGTGGGTCTGCCGGGGCTGATGCAGCGCAGAGCGGAAATGCCGCAGACACTAACTGTTTGCTGTTCCAAACACTTAAGCTTTGCTTTCGAGGTAGAAATGATCTGTAAAAATCACTATGGCAATATTTAACTACTGAAGCGTAAAGGATCCACCATGTTTGAAGCTTTACATTAAAAATACAAGAGCTAAAAAGACGAGGATGTCTACCTGTAAGAAACTGATAGCATTTTGTTTTATTTCATGTTAAGCCAAAGTATATGCACTTAGTTATACCTCTTTATTCCAAGAAAGTTTTGTGGAGGCTCTTTGCACATGCGACTTATGAAGGAAACACCTGCTTGGGTCGCAGCCCGCAGGACCCTGGCTCAGCCTGCCCTAGGCGTGTGGCCGTGGCGTAGGCCACTTTCAAGATCTGCAGACTCTACCAATGCTTTGAATACAGCTAATAACTTATTTGTATAATTGAAGTGGAGACCTACCTCCATGACTGGAGAGTTCTGATTGTTTGGATTAAAGTCAGAATTTGGCCTTTTTTCTTCTCATTATACAAATATATATGGTTTTTCCTGATTAAATGGGTATTCTTAAACGTGGGTGCTTCAGGATTTTGTGCTTCTATATTTAAGTACATTGTTTTTATAGTAACATGTGACTCAGAATGTGTTTTATAAATCTTTAATAATTTATAAATAGGTAATATTTTTGTATTATCACAGTGCATTATTTTTCCTCCTTTTTTTCCAAAGCGTATCAGTGTATTTACCACTTGTAAGAGTGACTGACAGCAGGCCAGTGGACCTTGAGGTAGTCATTGTGTAGCAATAATTAAAGCCTGAAGCAGGTTATTTTTTCTTTTTTTACTTCAGTGTTAGTCCTTAGATATTTCTCAGCAAGTCTACATATTTTCATCGATGCCATATATGAATACAAATTTTATGGACTGATCACTTTTGCATATTTTAAATGTGAGGTTATCTTTTATAACAGGATATTTAACGTAAGTGCTAGGTATCTGAAACTGTTACAGAGCTTTTCTTTTTACTTTAAATAGGAAAAAAAATATAAGGGTGTATATTAGTCCTGTCACTTATGTTATATAAAATCTAATCATTTGTTGCCATTTTTATTCCTATGCAGAATATTTTTTGTATCAGAAACACTCACTGTATATCTGAAGAAAAGGAAACTGCACTACATATCCGTTACAAGACAGTAATTATGATGCATCTCAACTTCTAGAGCAAATCAAGGCTGTTACTCAGGGTCTGAGGTTGTAGGCTAGGAGAGAACCTGAGATTCAGTCCATCTCAGCACATCGTCTGCGCGGAATCACAAGTGTAGTCCTAGCCAGAGATGCAGCTCAGATCGGTCTGCTGGAAACTGCTCTTTCGTAAACAATGTAAAATGTTACAGATACTAAAATGACAATGCCTAACTTGTGAACTTTATTGAAATGGTCTAAGATAAAAACAACTGCATATCAAACTTTTCTTTACAATGTGTGTTTATTTTTTCACGTAGTAGAAACTTCTTTTGTACTCACTATTTAGGAAGTGACCATACCTTAAAATAACCAAAGGGTGGAAGGCTCTTCCGTGATGGGATAATAAAGTCTCTCTAGTCAATAAAAGTTGATAATACATAACTAAGGTCTGGAGGCACTTTCCTTTGTAGACGTATGTTTTTATTGCATTGGTCCTTATTTGCTCATGTTCTCCCTGGCACTTTGAAATTTTAGGGTTTTTGGTACCGGGTCTCACTGTGCTGCTTGGACCTATAATGATCCTCCTGTCTCAGCCTCCCAGTGCTGGGATTACAGGCGTGCGCCACCATGCCCGGTTCCAGTGGCCGGCTCAGTGAAGGGCCGACACAGCATGCGGTATCAGGGACCCTTAGAGCACCAAGCTATCTCCCCGCCCCAGAATGGCTCTTATTCCATCTACAGTGATCTGGTTTTGTTCTTACGCCTTAGACTAAAACCCTTTCACAATTGTTAAATATAGCCCTGTGCTGCTGTATAATACAATTTGTGTCTCTGTTCGTGCTACATGCAGAGCACTTTATTAGGTTTTGTTGGTTAAAAAATGAATGAAACGGTTCTTTCCTTTTTAGAGCATAAGTGAAACAAACAGCAAGTTTCAGTTGCTGTGGAGACAGAAATCTTGAGTAGCTTTCCGAGCAGGAGCGGAAGGAGGCAGCCTGTGAGCCTGCTGAGTGGTGGCCGTTAGGCTGTGTCACCTGCCATGGTCTGGGCAGCTGGCCAGGACAAAGCAAGAATGACATGGGCTGGCAGTACGCAAACCATCCAGGGTAATCTAAAGCTACCAGCTCTCCAGGGAAAAGACAAAGGTCAACTTAAAAGTTACAGTATCAGAATGTTCGGTCATCAGAAACTTACTAGCAGTTATTTTAGCACAGCTGAAATAAAAGGTACAAGCCCTTTGCACTGAAGCTGTAAAAGAACCAAGTGGAAAGTTTTGGACCGAAAATCAAACACCTTATTGAAGGAGTCTCAGCAGCAGAATCAAGATGACTGAGGGGAAGTGAATCTGAAGATCAGAAACTAGGCTGAATAACGGATGTACCTTTGGGGATTTGAGTGACAGTACCTAATGGTCATGTCTTAAAGGTCTCCATAGAAGAAAAATGAAAAGCACTTTGGAGGGCGAGCCGAGCCCAGTGTGGTAATCCAGTGAGACACGGACTTAGCATAAAGTAAAGAGGGCGGATAGCTTTATGGGGACACTTGCCTACTGCACACTAAGCCCTGGGTGAGGTGTCCAGTTCCACAAAAATAAAAACTTTCAAAAATTTAGTAAGATAATTTTACACATGCTCTTTTTAAAGCAGGTTTACCTCCATAGGACCCCAAGATGAAAACACAAAACATACCCAGAACATCAGTCAAATCAATGAAACCAAATATAAAATGATTTTTGAAAACAACCAGAAAAAAGCTAGCAGCTTGCTTTATAAAACAAGATTTGGCCCAGTATGTGCGCTGCCCTTGGTCCAAGAAGTCAGTGGAGGAGGGCGCAGCAGACACAAAGACTTGAATGTTGGCGGACGGAACCAGGCACTGAACTCAGGCCCTTGCCCTTGCCAGGCAAGCGCTTACTCTACTGAGCCATCTGCCCGGCCCCAAAAGGTATTTTTATTTTTTTACAATGGAGCATATTTAACGTGCTCAGAAAGATGATCAACGTGCCATCCCTTACCCAGCAAACTCTCAGCAATGAAGGTAAAATACATGTTTCAGAAGGACAACTATAAGCATAAGCAAAATTTATTGTTTTAAAATAAACGCAGAAGTTCATGGGGAAGGGAAATGACAGCAAAGAAGGCAAAATACAGCGTACTATTTTTTTTGACATAACCGCACATGCAGAGTAAAAAGTGACAGGATTGGGCTGGCGAGATGGCTCAGTGGTCTAAAGCACCTACTTGGAACAAGCTTGGCAAAGCACAGGGACTGCGGTTCTATCCCCCAGCACCACATGCCAGCCAGTCCTGCCCCCAGGTGGGCTGAGCTGGCCACACACACACACACACACACACACACACAATAAATAAAATGTTAAAAAAAAAAAAAAAGTGACAGGATTACCAGTGTTGGAAGACGTGATGCGGAGAACTGCATCCCGGTGAGGAGGGCAATAAGGGCCTTCTATAGTCACAGGGTTTCTAGAGTTCACTTGGCAAAATATTCTAAGGACACTGCAAAAATTGGGAAGTCATCATCTATAGCAACCATCTTCTAAAGACTTATAGTACCAATATTTAAGGTTTAAAACTTCAAATAGTTCAAAATAAAGAGAAAACAGGAATGAAAAATGTAAGGATACACAGAAAACTTAATAAGAAAACGACACTAATGGTACAAGATGGAAAAACACCACACACTAAAAGATGGAAGGGCTACATTGCTATCAGCAAAGACTGCACAACAAGGAAACCTTTATTCTACCACATTGTAAGAGAAGAGCTAAATAACTGTCATTTGCCCAAAGTCGCACAACTAGGAACTCACAAAAAACACGTCCTAGCAATTATGAAGCTGCAAAGAGCAAAGTGAGCTGCATCCGGGTCACGCAGGCAGACTTCATGACTGCGGAACGACGTGGGCAGTGAGCAGAAGGGCCGATGCACAGGACTTCCCACGCGAAGGCAGCGCTGGCAGGGGGGCTATTTGTTTTTAAAACTGCCCACATCTGAAACCTGAAACCGAGTCTCCTGACCAGTGCCCTTCAATACATGCACTGCCATAATCCAGGTGATGGCTGTAAGATTCATTCTGAGCCTCACGAATCTGTTCCTATGATTTACTCCAAAGTGCAAGAAAACACAGCTAACTGGGCAAATGGCAACAAAAATGGTCAGATTTATGCTACTTTTATTTATTTTTTTAATTTTATTTATTTTTGTGTGTGTTTGTGTGTGTGGCCAGCTCAGCCCACCAGGGGGTGGGGCTGGCTGGCATGTGGTGCTGGGGGATTGAACCGCGGTCCCTGTGCTTTGCTAAGCTTGTTCTAAGTAGGTGCTTTAGACCACTGAGTCATCTCACCAGCCCCTATGCTAGTTTTAGAAAGTGTTAAGCAGTTAAAGGAAACCAAGATGTAACCATATTCAAAATGGTTTATTGATTTATTTGTCTTTTTGAGACAGGGTCCTGCTGTACAGCTCAGGCTGGCCTCGAGCTCACTTTGTTGCCCAGGCTGGTCTCCAACTCGCAATGATCCTCCTGCCTCAGCCTCCCACACGGTGGTATTACAGGCGTGTGCCACCCGCCCCGTTTCCAACTGCTGTTTTAAATTCCCTGAATTGCCTTAGTTTTATTCTTTAATCACAATTTAGGATACTTGTAATTGGTGGTCTCCCTGGAGTTAGCCTTAAGTTACGTGCAAGAATGAATATACTAGGGCTGGGGAGATGGCTCAGTGGAATAAGCGCTTCCCTGGCAAGCGCAAAGGCCTGAGTTCAATCCCCAGTTCCGGGGGGAAAAAAAAAAAAAAAAAAAGAGTGAATATACTGCAAAGGCAAAATTCTGCAATTATACATCTTTTGATAGGAGGATATGCACTGAACCACCGAAGAGACCTGAGCCACAGATCAAAACAAGGGCAAGCTGGGCATCAATGCAGGTCTACTTAACGAGTAGCTAGAGATAACCAGGCAATCCTGACTCCTAGAATTTTTAAAAATATCTATATAGCAACTGGGGTAAGAGAAAACTGGATACAAAATAGAAGCCAAAAACACTTTCAAAAGTGAATTATGTATACTCAACCAAAGGCCACATTTCCACAGGGGAATTCTTACTCCCGTAATTGCCCGAGAGAACATCAGGGCAAGACTGACGACACAACTCTGGAAAGGCGTCGAGCGAGGACGCCCCCATCGCGCCGCGCCCCGCGACCTCGCCCTCCTGGGCCTCTAGCACTAGCAGCGCTCGCCCGCCGCAGGCCGCTCCGGGCCGGCGCTGGGGGATGCCGCCCCTCTTCAGCTGCCGCGCCGGCGCCGCCTCCCGCTTGCGGCCCCGCCTCCCGCTTGCGGCCCCGCCTCCCGCTTGCGGCCCCGCCTCCCGCTTGCGGCCCCAGCTGGGCTGCGACGCGGAGCTGCAAAGGCAGGCGCTGCGCGCTGCGGGGCGGGCACTGGGACGCGGCGGGATGAAGCCGGCTCCGCACGCTGGGCTGCAACAGTTCTCTGCGCTCCGTGAGGACGAGCCCGTGTCTTTTTGGGGTGTCACTAAACATAAAAAGAAAACACAGCCCACATCGCAGCCGCCCACCTCCCGGCACAGCCCTTAGGAAACGCTCCCGGCTTGGCGACCGGCCGGCCACGGCGTGCGCGCGCAGAACGCTTCCCCTTCCGGCCAGGACTCCCGCTGTTTCCGGTCCCGGCCCGCCTTGGTGCTCCGCCCCCGGGTTCCGGTCCCCGCGGCCAGGGCCTGAGGAATCCGGTTCCCGCCGCGCCGGCAGCCGCGCCTGCGCAGACGGTGGCGTCATCACCATGGCAGCGCCCGCTGCTGGCCCGGGTAAGCGCCGGTCCCCGCCCCGCGCGGCGCTGCTCCGAGCCTCCAAGGCCTGCGGGCCGGGGCCAGGCCGGGGAGGGCTGGCGTGACCGGAATGGCGGCCCGGGTGGGGGCTTCCGCGCCCGAGAGCCCCCAGCCCCCGAGCGCAGAGGCGATCGCGATCCGCCTGCGCCTTCCCGGTGCGCCGCGCCGCGGGAGCTCCGGGGGACGAGAGAAAAGAAAAAGTAACAGTGCTCGGACGTGGTTCCGTGGCCGACGGGCTGGACCGGGAGGGCCTCTCGGAGCGGCAGCGCTCGTCCCGTGGCGGAGGCCCGGTGCAGCCCTCCCGCCTCCGCGGAGCCTGTGTGAGCCTCCTTGAGGCTGCCTCCTGCGCCCGTGCCACCAGACGTGGCCAGACCAGACGTGGCCACGGGGAAAGCCAGGGCTCGCGCCCGTCGCAAGCCCATCCAGTTCGCAGCCATAAAGCTGTCCGCAGTCTGCATCCCCCTTTGCTAAGCGACTTGTTAGCGAGATCCAGGAATTACAGGGAGGCGTCCTTTTGCTGTTTTTCCCCAACTGTTACAGTTCCATTATTGTTCTTGGCTTTCCATTTTTCACTTAACATTCTGAGATTATATCAGTACGTGATTATATCAGTACATGCAGTTACCTTATTCTTTTTAAGGGTTGTCTAATGTTCCATTGTGCAAAAATGAACCATAATTTAGTGACTTTTTGCTAAATAATTAGACTTTCACTCTTTCACTGTTACAAACAGTACTACAATAAATATTCTTGTATAAAAGGTTATTTCCCCAATGTAAGTGTATCTTTTTTAAAAATTACATTTCATTAAAGTGGAATTTCTAGATGAAATGGTAGATATTTAGAATGTTTTACAGAATACGTATTAACATAATTTGTAAATCATGTATTTCAGTTTTTGGTGTGTTCTTAGACTTGTGTAAACATCAGCTTGCTTTAATTCTTTCCTCTTTTTTTTGAGACAGGTCTCACTATGTGGTTCAGGTTGGTCTTTGACTTACTGTGTAACCCAGGCTGCCCTTAGACTCAACAGTGATTCTCCTGTTTCAGCCTCCCAAGTGCTGAGATTACAGGCATGCACCGCCACACCTGGCTATTCACTGTGCTATTTTTTTTTATTTTTTGGCGGAACCAGGGATTGAACTCAGGCCCTTGCATTTGCCAGACAAGCACTTATTCTCCTGTCTCCCAGCCCCTATTCACTGTTCTGTTGCCAGATTCTAATGACCAATATGTGTTTTCTGTTTTGTTTGATCTTGTATTTTTTCAAAACTAATTACTTTGCTATTCTTTTTCATCTATCCTCAGCCCTTTCTCATTAATCTCCACACAACTCAGCAGTCTCACTTGTGGGTATACACCCAAAAGAAACCACCGCCACAGAGAGCTCAGCAGAGGGGTTAGATCCCCCCGCGTGGCGCGCCGGTGGGCCCTGCCCCCAGGCACGCTGAGCCAAGTGACAGGCTGGGCGTCGTGGCGTCCCAGTGCTTGGGAGGCTGAAAACAGGAGGATCTCTACGAGTCTGATATATGTAGTGAGACCCTGTAGACCTTGTACTAAGAAACCACTGCCTCATAAGCTGAACACTAAGTTACAGTAGCTAAGGTGCGGAAGATGCCTATGTGATGAGTATTGAGTGACAAGTGGAGAAAGATTTGGGGACACACACACACCCCCAAATATTACTCATTCCTGAAAAGAATGAGCTCTTGCCTTTAACACAACTGGATGAGCCTGGGAACATCACTGCCCCAACACAGAACAAGTGCACGATATTCGCCCTCTATAACTACCCACGTGTCCAGGAGAAGGAAGAAACGGTGGCTGCCCTGGGGAGGGTCAGTAGGGTGCCCCCCGGTTGTGGGGGCGCAAAGCTAGGACCAGAGCCAGCCTGAGGGCTCAGGAGGTGGGTCTGCACTGTGCAGGCTGCCCTGCGCACGGAGCAGTGTCTCTTCTCCCACAAGGCATAAACCGTGGCCTCTGTGTCACAGCGTCAGTTACCTCACCTCTGTGTAGCCCCTGGCCTGCAGTGCATGTCGCCCTATCCTGCTGCCTGTTCCCAATACACACCGTGAAATTTTCATTTAAAACGTTTATCCTCTAAGAGACTATATCCTTTTTCACATGGATTCCCATCACTTACTGCAGGATGCTGAAGGGTTTGAGGGGGCGTGCTGGCTCAGGATGCCTTGGGGCAGGTCTGGCAAGGCTTGAGGATCGACGACAGCATCCTGAGCCTGACTGCTCTGTTTAAGCAATCACTTAAAGAGCTGAGCTAATGGGCATGCCCCCAAAATATTTTTGTTTATTTTTTGCGGGACCAGGGATCGAACTCAGGACCCTGCACTTGCCAGGCAAGCGCTTATTCTACTAAAGCTATCTCCCCGGCCTCTACTGCAGGATGCTGGAGTGAAAACATCCTGGACTATTTCCTGAGAACTCACCAGATCGCTACAGAAGACGGCGCCGAGATCTCCTGGTACCACGGAGCCAACCGCAGGGCGCAGACGGAGGCGGCGCTGAGGAGTGAGTCGCCTCCCGCGTGCTCCGCGTCCCGCCCGCCCGCCGGGCGCAGTGTCTCCCCGAGAGAGAGCGGCTGCCGCGTCCCGCCGGGTGCTCGCGTTCGCGGTCTCGGTCGCTTCCCGCGGAGAAGCCGGCAGCCCGCAGATGCCCGCGCCTTTTGGACTGTTCCTTTGGGTGCAAGTGGATTTATTGTCCACAACATGTAGTAGGCTCTTTTGTACATCAAACTATAGACAAGCCTTCCCGCGGAGGGCGAGCCCAGATGTCGCGGACGGGCCTCCTGCCGCCTGCCGCGGCCGGCTCTCGTCGGGCCTGCAGCGCCCGAGCCTCTAAGCGCCCCTCGCGGCCGCCCTGGGCTCCAGGAGGCGCCGCCCTCCCAGGTCTGCGTGATAGATTCGCCACAGTCACTGGAGCCATATCGGCCAGAGGTGCTGTGGCCACAGTGCACGTCCTGCCACCCTCAGCTTGAAATTTAAGGGGCAGCTCACGGGGCGCTGAGCCTTTCACAGCACTGAGGTCCTGACGCCTGCCCTGCACACAGTCCCTTGCATGCCCTTGAAGCCAGGATGCAGCCTGCTCCTTCCTTGCGGGCTTTAGCAGAGGCCAGTGGGAGAAGCCAGGTGGCATCTCCGCCCTATCTCCCTGACGGATCTCCGGCTTCATGAGCTACCTTCTCTTAGACAGGCGCACACACGACAGGGTCCACAGAGTCACACCAGTTTTACTCCTGCCGGGGACATAGCTCAGCAGCATAAGTGCCTGCCTGGCAAGTGCAAGGTCCTGAGTTCGATCTCTGGTACCAGTGCATTTTCTGTGTCCACAGCTTGGCATAGAAGATTCCGTGCTGCTCCTCCAGTTCCGCGAGGTCCACTGCCTGCTGGGTTCCTCCACTCTGAGGTTGTTATTTTTGTGGAACCAGGGATTGAACTCAGGCCCTTGTGCTTGCCAGGGAAGCACTTATTCCACTGAGCCATCTCCCTGGCCCCTCTTTTTTTTTTTTAAGAGAGAAAAAAAAATTAAAAAGGTACAGAATTTCAAAACACAGTGATAGGAAATTAACAATGGTTTTATATTGCATATTGTTAAGTTCAAAGTATTTGTTCAAATTACCAGATACAGGACACAAAGCAATCAGACAGTGTAGGCACTAACTGGGCTTTCAGTGAGCAAATAGAGATTACTAGTACAAGTCTCTTAGCCATCTTGTGTGCATGTGTACATACTTTTTCTTTTTCTCCCTCTTCCTTTTGTTCTCCTTCCCCCATCCCAGTTCTTCTCTTTTGAGCAGTTTCTTTCCCTTTCACAGTATCTTTTGTGCCTTCTGGATCTTACGTGCTCTTTCAGGTTCTTACACTAGGGAGACAATATGATGTTTACATGTGTGGGTCTGATTTATTTCACTTACAAGTATGGTCTCTGGTTGCCTTCATTTACCTTTAAAAGCCTCAATTTATCTTTATAGCTAAGTAGTTCTCCATTGCATGAAAATACCACATCTTTTTAAAATCTCTTCCTTAGTTCATGGACATTTAGGTTCTTCCAAGATGTAGCTACGGAAAACTGCATTGCTATAAACATGTGTTCATGTATATCTCTGTAGTATGAGGTTTTCATTTGTTCTAGGAAAATACCCGGCAGGGAAATAGCTGGGTCGAATGGGACCGCCGATTCTAACTTTTTGTGGGATCTCCACACTGATTTCTACTGTTCGTACCAGTCTGCACTCCCGTCTGCACTCCTTTTCCCCACAGCCCCTCCAGCATTTGTTATCGGCTAACTTCTTGATGTTAGCCGCTCTTTCTGGGGTGAGATGGAATCTCAATGGTGTTTTTATTTGTTCTTCTTCTTCTTCTTCTTTTTTTTTTTTTTTTTTTTTGGCAGAACTGGGGATTGAACTCAGGTCATTGCATTTGCCAGGGAAGTGCTTGTTGTACTGAGCCGTCTCCCCGGCCCTTAATTTGTGCTTCTTGAGTGGCCAATGAAGTTGAACATTTTTTCATATATTTATTTTCTGTTTGTATTTCTTCATCTGAATAAATGTGTATTTATCTCAGATGCCCAATTTTGGATTTTTGGATTGGGTCTCTGAATTTTTTTTTTTTTTTTTTTGGGTTTTTTTTTTTTTTTTGAACTGGGGATTGAACTCAGGCTTTTGTGCTTGCCCGGGAAGCGCTTATTCTAGTGAGCCATCTCCCCGGCCCTGGATCTCTGAATTTTGAGGCCCTGATTTTTTTAGAAAATTTATATGTTTTATATAGAAGTCCTTTGTCTAAGGACTCTTGGGGCTGGGAGATAACTCAGTAGAATAATTGCTTGCCTGGCAAGCGCAAGGGCCTGAGTTCAATTCCCAGATTTCACACACACAAAAAAAAGATTTCTACCTACTTTCTCTTCCAGTAGATTTAGTGTTTCTGTTTTAATATTTAGATCTTTGACCCATTTTTCACTTTAGTTTAATGCGTGGTGATAGACTTGGATCTAGTTTTAATTTTCAGGCTGTGGAGAGCCAGTTTGTCCAGCACCATTTGTTAAGAGGCTGTCTTTCTTCCAGTGAACATGTTTGGCCCCTTCATCAAAGATAAGGTGGCTGAGTGTGTTTGTAGTTGTAGCTACATCTTCTGTTCTGTTCACTGAGTTGTTGGGTCTGTTTCTTTGTCAGTACCATGCTGATTTTATCACAGTGGCTTTGTGGTATAATTTCAAGTCAGGGATTGTTAATGCCTCCTGTCTTTCCTTTGTTGCCCAGGATTGCCTTTGCTATTTTAGGTCTCTTCTGCTTCCAAATGAATTTTAGGAATGTTTTACCTAGACCTGTGAGGTACACTAATGGTACTTTTGATTGGGATTGCATTAAGTGTGTATAATGGTTTGGGGAACATGGCCATTTTCACAATGTTGGTTCTTCCTATTCAGGAGCAAGGATGTCGTTCCATTTTCTGAAGTCCTACTAGATCTCTTTTTGGAGTGGGAAATTCTGATCTGACCTTGGCCCCCTATGGCTGGCCAGCTCCAGTCCGCAGAGAGAGGTGGGAGAGCCTATGGCCTCCATCCAGGCCTGCAGGCCGCAGTCCATGAAGCACTTTTGCGCTGTGCCCAGGGGAGTGTGCTGCTCCCAGGCAGTAGCTAAACCCAAGATCAGACAGAGGCGTTTTCAGCACCGACTTTCCAATGAGAAAATAAAAACACCATGCCTTATTCCTAAAAATCTTCCCCAGAGACTCACCAAGGCTCCTTTTGTATTCTCACCCCACAAGGCACTGGGGAGGACAAGCAAGTGCGACCCCAGGGCCTAGGAAGCTGTGTGTAGCTCTAGCAGCTGTTTGGGCATGGACAAAGAATAAGCTAAGCTGAGGCCCATCGGGCTCCTGGCCAGCGGGCGGTAGTTTTCCGCCTTGCTTTCCCCCTCCCGGGTACCGTCCAGGGCATCCCTGCAGCTCCACGGCTCCTGAGCGTGAGCCCGCCTGCTCTCTCCCGGCAGGTGCGGCTCACATGGTGGAGGCGGATGTGCTGCTCCCGAGCGCAGGTGCAGGTGCGGTGCCCAGCCAGCCAGTCATGGCTCATCCCCCGGAAACCCACAGTGACAACACGCTGCAGGCCTGGCTGGCCGCGCTCCTGCCCAGCACCAAGGGCATCAAGTTGGACTTCAAGAGGTAGGTGCGCTGGCAGCTTCCCTTGGAGTCACTGGTGGGGGCGAGCGGTGGCGCCTGGCTGCCGATGGTTGTACTTCCTCACAACCGGAAAAGCAGCTGGAGACTCAGAGGTTTCTGCAATGGAATCCTCGGAGTTTGGAATGATCTTGGAGCTGCTTGCTAAAATAGTCTCTTGCAGCCCTTTGAGGCTGATGTGAGATTTTTAAGGGAGCTCATAGTTGGTGCCTGTTGTGGCAACAGAATGCAAGTTCAAATGCTTCTTTTGCTAAAAAGTTGAGTGAGAAAGAGAGCTGAGAGAAGTTTGTTGAAATAGTGTAAGCCCGCCTGATTTGATTGAATCTGCATTTGTGGAGGATTATTCTTTTTTTTTTTTTTTTA